CTTTACATAAAGATTCGTAGGAGGGAACTTAGGATGGTATCCTAGACGGCTCATCGCAAGACCGACTGATGCTCATCGGGCCAGGGCTCATCGGAGGCTCATCGCATCAATTCCTTGGGTCGTCGGGCCTCATCGGGCTGCTGGTGCCTTTAGCTGTAGTCTTTGGGCCTGGGGTCTACGGGGAGCTCATCGGGTGCTCATCGGGGTTTTTCGCGGGGATAGCTCATCGCATGGTTTTTTGCTTGAAATAGTGGTTTCCTATTAAAAACAAATAAAACCGACCGCACCACCTACGGCTGGCCCGAGACCCGCTCTGGGATCTAAAATGACATCACCTGACCCCAGACCGCACTAGGAAGCCCGACCCTTAAGCTGTATTATTAGCCTTTCCTGTATACGGGAGGAATATTGTGGGTCAGTGTTCACGAAGCAGTGCAGGATTGCCTTTTGTAGTTGTCGTTTAACTAGCACATTTCTCATGATATACAAGTGGAGTGCTCCGGAACTGCTGGCATTCTTAAACTCCAGAGGTTGCACATTCCTATTGCATCCGTATACTCGAAACCTGCCGAGATCCTAGCAAGCTGCCACTTTATGAACCCAAAGCTCCTACATGTGAGCCTAGAGTCTTGCTGGGCCCGATCTCCATGTACATCATAATTCTTGAACACTATCACCCACAACTTCCCTAAAGCCCTGATCTCTCTCTTCTGGAAAATGAAGAAGCTTGGGTGTCCTCTTATCAGAATAACCCAGTTACGACATAAGATGTTGGCGGCTTCCTGTTTCGAACAGTATGGTTTGTTTGAGCGCCGGGGGTTAGGGGTCTTTAGCTGGGATTCGCCTAAGTAGTCATTTATATTTAAGTGACTACTTCTACGTGGCTGCTGTTCATGTCTGCAAGACTCGAGCCTATGCTTATGGTAGCAAGTCTCCTCGTCTACTTACAAGACCCAGAGAGCACACTGTCTCATCCCAGGTTTTGCACAATGCGAACTGGTCCGGACTGGTGCTGCAAGGGAAGATCGAAACCCTGAGGCCAGACGAAGTGCTGCAGCTAGCTTCTGAGTGCGGCTTTAGAAGTTCAGACACCTGGGGTTGGCCATATAGTGTGCGACTTCAACAACAAGCTGGGTCATTCGTAACTCCTGGCTTTACGACTACAGTGTGTGGATATCAGATGCATCATATAGCACTCTCGAAGTCTTGCAGCTGCTACAAGTGCAAGTGAAGGCTACCATAGCCGGATCATTCCAGCTGAGTTTCAGCAATAACCAAGGTCTCACAGGTGTCAGGGTTGCCCAGAACGGGGGCAGGCTTCGGAGCCTCATCATCTCGATCGCCCCCAGGAGGGCCATCAGGAACTTCGGGAATGTGTTGACCACTTCGCCTCAGATTCGCCGGG